AATAGCGCCGATTAGTTTTGCACACCACCTTTTCGAATACTGCGCCACAGCTCGAATCGCTCCACCCATTCCTCGATCTCGGACAGACTGCCTTGCAGGTTCAATTATTTAATACTTGGAAGCCCCATTGCGCGACGCCAATTCGTGGTAACCGTAGCAGTAGTAGTAGTGAAATTACGCACAGAATTCAGGACACGAACTACGCTATAGGAATCACGGAACACGAATTAGAAATCCGGTGGCACTAGACCTCAATGGCTCGAACTCGCAATAACCCGCAGGATCGAGACGCGAGAAAAAGGCCACAAGGTAGGTGAATCACAAAGTCGTTTATTGAAGGAAATGAAAGTGAATATATATGTGCACAAGAAAAGATCATTGGTTACCTTAGTTTCCTTCAATCATATTGCATCACATCTCACGCCATATTGCTCTTCTCTGCATTGTATCTGATTGGCTGGAACGGTCCACCAAGGACGTGTATCCGGAGGCTGTGCACGTGCTACTGGCGTCAGCGCTCAAGGTCGATTGACTACGGAAACTGTACCGCGCTGCTCCAGAGCAGGCGTAATCTCGTAGATTCGAATCACCTCATGGACCTATTCACCCTCTTCCATGCGAATGAATTTGGAATGACGATTTGTTCGTAACTGGGTGCAATAATCCCCGTGTAACTTAGGGTGGTATTCCCGCAGATGCTTTAGGATCTTGTTGGTAGCATTCGCTGTTAGCTTAAATTCCAAATTTATCTGTGGGCATGTCTCCAAAATATTTTAAGGTTACATTTGTTTTCATGCGCAATAGTTATGAAAAATGAATGACAGAATTTTCGAGCATATACCTGTTTCAGATGGATTTTTGATGTCACTGGTATGAGTAGACGAACGGGCATAAAGATCTGTAGATGCTTACACCAGGAAACAGCTTGGCAAATTCACTTGTTGGATGTTCATCTCCATTAGCGAATGTCGATGGTACCTGTAGTGAGGGCGTCAACCCTTTCCGCTCATGTACCCTCTCCATCCTGTTTGTTGTTTTACAAGACCAAGATTATCGCGTTGGTCACGGTACGTTGACTTTCACTTTCTGCACGCTTGCTCACCTGTACGCTTCTCTGTCTACTCTCCGGCTCATTACAATGTAACCCTCGTTGAGATTTCGTGATATCAGTTGTTCTGTTTTGGTTCGTTACCTCGTCCGTTGTTAGACGTACGAATTCGTAGACATCATTAGCCCAGAGACTAAATACTTCATTTTGTTTACTTCTACAATTCATTGCTTCATCTGTAACACAGGGAGTTGGTTAAAACTAATAAATCGTTAAAATTACATTTTTCCGAAATTTAGTCATTCGAATGACGCTCGTTTTCACCATCTGGTTCTTCAGAAGTCAGTGTTGTGCATGGTCTATTTGACAATGCACGCATTTCGCGATAATCAGTGCATCTGCTTGTATCGCGGGGCATGGCTCCAGAAGCGACGAATAACGGGAAAATAAGGGTCAATTAAAATAAATGGAAAAAATTGAGTCTATAATGTGAATCTTGAAGAAAAGAATGTTTCGCTAATGAGGATATAATAATTTACTATATAAAAGTGCAAAAAGTAACTGGGGAAAAATGAGCTTTGGAAAAAACGCGAAAGTCGGAGCGATTTTAGAGCGGAAAAATGCTCCGATGTGTTGGCAGGGTATCTGTTCAGGGATACCTGTCTCTCCTGCCCATAACGGTTGGTATTTGGCCAGGTTCAGTGGTAGGTCCTACTTATTCAGGTTGTTTAGTTCCTTCCTTGTAGTCTTGTCTTGAAATTTTGAAACGACTCTTAGGTTCGAGGCTGGCGACCAATGATCCCAGATCCTTGTACTCGTGTGTTTTCGGTCAGGGGTATGGTATCAGCAAACACTATACATGATCGAGAGATTTGCGACAAATGGTACAAAAAGGACTTTCTGTTAAATATTGTAATTATTATTGGTTTAAGTGAAGAAACTGGAATAGATTTTTGTTTAAATTCTCTACGCTCAGTTGGGCTCGTTACCTGTTATCGCGCGTGTTCTCGTCTGTCCGGTGTAATTATGGTGAGCTTCTCAGAGATCGCTTTACGCTGATTCTTCCAGGCAGATCAACTCACAGAAGAGCAAATTGCGGAGTTCAAAGAAGCTTTTTCCTTATTCGATAAGGATGGCGATGGAACCATCACTACCAAAGAGTTGGGCACCGTCATGCGATCCCTCGGTCAAAATCCTACAGAAGCTGAGTTGCAGGACATGATTAACGAAGTCGACGCTGATGGTAAGCCGTACTACTTTTCATATCCAATCGTCAAAAGGCAATGGAACCATCGACTTTCCCGAGTTCCTTACAATGATGGCAAGAAAAATGAAAGATACGGACAGTGAGGAAGAAATTCGAGAGGCTTTCCGCGTGTTCGACAAGGACGGGAACGGATTTATTTCAGCGGCCGAGCTCCGGTTAGTGTTGGCCTATTCTCACTATGATGATGAGTTACTTAATTGTCTATCGATTTTTAAAGTCAGCTGTTTTCGTTGAAGGTAATTCATAGAACTACGCACGCCCATTGCCACACTTGTCCAATCAGAGATGTTTGATTAAGAAGACTGATCATAATAGGGGTTCGACGGTAATTAAATCTGTTTAAGGTTCTAAAAGGCTAGTGTTCCATTTATCTTCGCTTTCCGGTATTTTATTTCGAGGTATCGTTCGCAATTACGTATGAGTCACCTATTGATCTATGCCTCTATTCGTCACAGTCATGAATTCAACGAGAGCCTTGCTTGTTTTTTTACTCGGTTTACCTTGTGCTTCGTCTTACTTTTATTACAGTGATTTACAGTTTGAGGCGAAACCCCATAATGGATGACATGGTAAGGGGGAAGGTATGCAGCACGATACTCAAGTGATAACCAATTTGTCAGTCCCGCTTTTGAAAGAGATGAGTGTTGATTGTAATTGCGGAGATGGGAAGTGTTCTACAATTACACAGTCTCGGGTATTGAAGAAAGCGGTACGTTAACGTTCGACATTTAAGGGCAAACCTAACCGCCTAAAATCGAAATGAACGGGAGTGGTTCGTGGGGAGGGGAGCAGCTAAGCGAGTTCAGACGATCGAAAACCAAAATGGCAACGATCCTTTAGGCGTGTTTTCTCTCAGGTCCATGTCATGTATCGGGCAATAACTTAATTGTGCTGTCGCCATGCAGCACCTGTATAGGATGATCGGGATCAAATAACTTGGCCGATTATTCCCGGATTTTGATTGGTAGTTATTGGACACTTGAACAGTTGAACATTGTTGATCTGGTGTGGTGGGGTCGTTCTTTTGATGCATTGGTAAATAAGTGAAACTGGTTCTACTTCCTCTCCGTGAGTATAATACCGTTAAACCCTGCTAAACTGTTCCGTTGTCATTAGTAGGTTTTTGGTCATCCGGCTCATCTGCCTTATCAAGGTATGTTCGATTGGTTCAGATTCCAATACTTGGTTATCGTAAATATAGGGTAGGCCGTCATGACCATTGGTCTACCCCCAGTTCGTCGCAAGTGGGTGATAAAACCCCAATGCATCCCTTGTCTGTGACCGCGTTTGTCAGCCGTAATTCGCAATTTTCTCGGTTCGATTTTTTTTACTTCAGCGGACAATATTAGGCACTCGGTCCGAGGACGTAATTTGTGTTGATCGAGCTCCGCGAACGTCAAAAGGTGGTTTTTCGTGTGGTTTATTCTCGAAGCTTAACGGGTTCAGCATTGTATTCTCATCTGAAACGGGCAGTGATGATCCAAGAATTGTTTGACAATCTGAACCCACATTAGAGTCAAATACAGTAATACTTTTGACGACGAGACTCCACATTGACGTGGTACGATGGCTTGTGCACCTCTGGCCCAACGAGCTACGCAGGATGGCTTTTGTGAAGCCAGGGGATCTTGTTATGCCTGAAAGGTCGAAGGGCAGAGCTCTACGCTAGGTCAGACGAAGTTCAGTCTCCTGGCCCTCTAAGTTGGGGGTTCGACTGGAACTTATGTTGAAAGATGGTCTAGTAATCGATCCAAGTAATTGGGCTTCCGTTTCGCTTCTCCCGCTACCTTGTCAAAACTAGAGGTTTCGGACGAGAACCCTAATCGTTCTCCTGCTTAGTGGCTGGACACCCTAACAGCACCCGTCCATCAAACCTCAATGCCTACTTATGCATTCCGAGTTGGGCAGCGATCAGTTACGTTCGCGTCACTTTTTCGCTGTACGATGGTGATGAAGGTATGCGAGGTTGAGATCATGACCATTGGTGTTAGCTGATGGCTTTCGAAATTTTGAAAATCTGACATGGCATGTGGTTTAAGCTTTTTTATCTTTCGTGCTATGCATTGTTATAAATTAACGACACCAAAAATGGGGAAGTATTTTGGTATGAACCCACATTCACAATCCCTCCCTCACGCTACCATAACTGTAATGCTTTAATTCCCGTTTTCATTTTTGAATATGTATTGGATTTCAAAGAAAGTTTCGTATTTTTCCTATCAGGTGTGTCTGCATAGATACAAAGTTTTTCATTTCGCGATTTGATTCTTGTTTTCTGCATAAACAGGCACGTTATGACAAACCTAGGGGAAAAGCTGACCGACGAGGAGGTGGATGAAATGATTAGGGAAGCAGACATCGATGGCGACGGACAGGTCAACTACGAAGGTACGTTCTTATTACTTCAGTAACCCCCCTTGGTGTTTTGTACCCTCAGTGTAGTTATTGCGTGCTATTACGTAGTTTTCCCTTTAGTGTCTAGTTTGTCTTGTCCTGTGTTATTGTTGTTGTTTTCCGTGCACACTCATTGTTGTCTTTTTCCACCCCGTTTCCTTTCTTCGTGCACGCGTGCGTGCGTGTGTTACGTATTGTCTTCGTCCACTAACGCATGTCGGGGCCCTATTGGCCAAACGTCAATCTCGGTCAATCCGTGCCGTTGTGTTCAACAGAGTTCGTGAAAATGATGACTGCAAAATGAACGAGGGAATCAGTATTCACATCAATCGCGCTCACCTCATTTTTCGTATCCACAGCTTCCACTTGAAGCTCGCTCTAAGCCACCAACGCAAAGAACAGAAATTATCCTAGATTTTGTAGCCAATGACCGTGTCTGCAACTGCTCATCCTTGTCTCCCATGGACTGGTATTTCTGAGTGCGCGCGCATGTTCTTTAAATTGGTGTACTCTCAGTAAATCAACACCGATCGAGCTCCATTTTTGGCTCGACGAAACTGTGGATTTCCTCCCCTAAAACTGCGACACAATTCGCATAATTTTATCTTCAATGACCAATCGCAGCGCTTTCTCGCTGCTATTTTTTCATCCCTTTTACCCTCCCACGAAAAACGCCAAACTCGTGTGCACCTGACGTTTTCACTTGATGTGTTTCCCAGTGAAAAAGTGTTACATATGGTGTTAGGTTTTGTTTGTACCACAAGGTGCACGCCCGTGGAATTTCCCGACTTTCCGTTTCTACAGTTCCGTTCATTCTGCATCTGAGCGTTTGGGCTTTGCAGGTCATGCTTTGGGTTTCATGTCACTTATGGTTACGTCGAAATCGGTGTAAGTAGTCGTGCTTTGTTTTCCAGAGAAAGTTTTGATAAAATGGCATTGCCCTTTCATCATTGTTAGGATTGCAGGTATTGACTCGAATTATTCATAAGCAGTAAGCGCTGCGGGTCGGACAAGTGTTTTTGCGCCTTGTTTTATTTCTGAAAAGGGACGAGGCAAAATAAGTTTTGGACATGAACCCTATTGATGAAATCGCTCGTTGTTTCTGTATTCGTCGTTACTGTAGTGTCGGTATCCTTCCGGTCCTGCTTAGACCACCGGGCGATAGGGCATATTTGTTTAATGTAGTGTTGTGGTATGTTGTGCTTCGAATGCATCCCTATTTGCTCGTGTATACTGCTTCTATTGATGTTGTTCATCGCATGCNCCTACGCATGCGTGCTACGTTAATGCTTACTGCCACTTGAGCTTGGATGCCATGCTGTTCTTGTTTGCAGAGTTCGTTACCATGATGACCACCAAGTAAGCTAAAGCTTCCATTCCCACCGCCACTAGTAACGCCGTCCCTCTGGGCAAGATACACCCAAACGACCATCGAGTTGGGGGACACGTCACGTGCACCTATTCCTGATTGTTCTTCTACCCATTGACCCCGCCTCCTTGCACTGAATTGTATGATGGACATGGAACGCGTATTTCTCATCCGATTTATATATACATAAACGTACGTGTGACTACTTGTCATTTTGCATTGAGTAGTAGAGCTCTGGTTGCCTCATTCTGCGTAAGCAGATTTCCTCATCATGTCAGCATTTCAAATCGATCAAACTTCACATCTGTCTTGCGATTCTTGCTAATTTCTTCCTCTTGTGCAACACTCAGTAAAATGTTACTGACATTGTGCTGCTTGTGGATTCCGAAAAAATTCCACTAGTGCATTCCACATGGGTTTGTGATACATTGCTCACGAGAATCCAGCTGAACCCCTTCGTTTGATCGTAATTGCTGCGCACCACTAACAGCGAATTGTTATCTAGCGATCGAATCCTATCACGATTTCCTCTTCCGGTATTCGGTTCTTTTTATCCCTTATTTTGTGTGCCGAGACTGGATCTCCGGTACACCCTAGATGCTGATGTGAGACCGCATGCTGTTGTTTTCCCGTCACCCGATGTGCAACCAAATGTTCTGGTGAGCGTTGAAAAATGAATGCGAACCTCAATGTGTTTTTCTCAAACGATTCTGTTCAACTTTTGAGGGTGGGTATTGGGTTTCCGAGGTTTGGGAGTTCACGTGACGGGTGTCATCGGCAGAGAAAGTGCTTCATGGACTCTGTTCATCAGGACAGCGGTTAATACCATACACCGAATGGGGCACGTTGATGATGCGATTGGTTTCTTATAACCATGGTCTTGAATATGTTTGGTCTAGCAATGAGTAGTTCCGTCTGCGCCGTCTTGTTCGTTCTCGTTTCGCTGTCTATGATTTACTCTGGTGATGCAGATGGAGCTTTAGGGACCCATGTATCGAGAAACGGTACTTATACACGGTTGTTTCCACAGTGATTCGCTTGAGTTACTTAACTATCGATATGCAGCTTTGTTAAATGTCGGGCGGGTGGTGCATTCAGTGTTCGTTTGGAGTGTGTGATTGGTAGTGGTTTGGGAAAACGCGAGTCATCCACCATATAGCTGGGCATTTGCGGACGACTAGGGTATGGTTAGTCCTGCTACCGTGCAAGGATGTTTGTGTAAATAACCTTAGGCCTTCAATTTAAAACGAAGTAAGGAGTTAACCAACCGTCGGTTTTTCGCGTGTATCTCTTGAAGTTTCGAAGTGTACCCTGGATCAAAGAGTGAGCTGCATTGCGACGTGGGAGTGTTTGCTTTCCGATCAATTGTATTGGGCAAACAGTATGATTCATATCTTTCTGTCCTTGGGTTGCAGGTTCAGGCGAACATAGGGTAGGTAATAACTTTCGATGTCCGTTGAATA